GATTGGCTTGAATATAGTGTGGAGAAAGATGCGGCTTTTTGTTTTGTGTGCTACTTGTTCAAAGATAAAGTTGATTCTATGGCTGCTAATGATTGCTTTATTAAAGGGGGGTTTAGAGGATGGAATAAGATTGGTAGATTTAATATTCATGTGGGAGGTCTTGGTAGTTTGCATAATCTAGCTTATGAAAAATACAATTTTTTCATTAACCCAAAAACATCAGTTGCCGAATCTTTTTCCACTTACACCACAGAAGCTAAACTTCAATACAAATATCGATTGACTTATTCAATAAAATGTATTAAGTTTCTTCTAAGTCAAGGCTTAGCTTGTCGTGGGCATGATGAAAGTGAAGACTCTTGGAATAGGGGTAATTTTCTTGCACTCTTAACATGGCTTTCAGAGAATAATAGTGATGTTGCAAAGGTTGTTCTAAGTAATGCCCCGGGAAATAATCAAATGACTTCTCCTTTAATTCAAAAGGACCTCATTAATTGTTGTGCCAAAGAAACCACTAGACTTCTCATTGATGATATTGGGGATGACTACTTTGGAATACTAGCAGATGAATCTAGTGATGTATCTCAAAAGGAACAATTGGCCCTTTGTTTGCGTTATGTGAATAATAAAGGGAAGATAACTGAGAGGTTTCTTGGAATTGTACATGTTAAGGATACCACTGCTTTGTCACTAAAAAGTGCAATTGAGTCTTTGCTTATGGAGTATTCATTGAGTTTGTCTAGAGTTCGTGGACAAGGTTACGATGGTGCTAGTAATATGAGGGGTGAGATAAACGGTTTGAAGACTTTGATCATGAATGAAACAAAACAAGCTTATTATATTCATTGTTTTGCTCACCAACTTCAACTAACCCTTGTTGCTGTTGCTAAGGATAATGATGATTGTATTTGGTTGTTTGACCAACTTGCTATTTTATTGAATATTATTGGTGTTTCTTGTAAGAGAAGGGAAATGATAAGAGAAATACAATCTCAACATGTTCTAGAAGCATTAGATCTAGGGGAAATTGAAAGCGGACAAGGTTTAAACCAAGAACTTGGTTTAGGTAGGCCTGGTGATACTAGGTGGGGGTCACACTACAAAACTGTTTCAAATGTTACCTCATTATATGCTACTATTGTCAAAGTTCTCAAGAAGGTTGGATCAAATAAGCTTTATAAGGATGATCGTGTAAAGGCTATCACTGTTATGTCTACATTTGAATCCTTTGAGTTTGTTTTCATGATACATTTGATGTCTGAAATATTTGGGCAAACTGATAAATTGTGTCAAGCTTTGCAAAGAGGAGACCAAGATATTGTTAATGCCATGTCATTTGTTACGTTGACTAAGGAACAATTGCAACAAATGAGGGACCATGGGTGGGAAGAATTTTTGCATCTTGTGCTTTCTTTTTGTGCTAAACATAATGTGGAAGCTCCTAATATGGATGATATGTATGTTCCTCGTGGAAGATCAAAACGCTTCTTTGCCAAAGTGACAAATCTTCATCGTTTTTGGGTAGAAATGTATTTAAGTGTCATTGATTTACAACTCCAAGAGCTCAATAATAGATTTGATGAGAAAAATATGGAGTTGCTTATTTGTATGTCATGCTTAAATCCGGTAAATTCATTTGCGGCATTTGATAAGCAAAAGTTGATGAGACTTGCCGAGTTATATCCCGAAGAGTTTCCAACTAATGATATGACAATGACTGCTCTTCGTCATGAACTTGGTTTCTATATTAATGACATGCGTACAGATGCAAGGTTTGGAGACTTGAAGGGTATTAATGAGCTTTCTATGATGCTTGTTGAAACAAATAAGCATACTTCTTACAAATTAGTTTACTTGTTGATAAGACTAGCATTGATCCTTCCGGTGGCGACTGCAAGCGTGGAACGAGTGTTTTCATCAATGACTTATGTAAAAAATAAGTTGCGGAATAGTATGGGTGATCAACTATTGAATGATAGTTTAGTTACTTATCTTGAGAGAGCCTTATTTGCAAGAGTTAGTGATGATGATGTATTAGCACGCTTTCAAAGTATGAAAACTCGAAGAATGCTTTTGTAGTTTTTTTTTTTTTTTTTTTAGTGTGTAATCCATCCATTTGTAATAAAAATTTGAATTTATGTATTGAATTTTTAATCAATATATGATCATCGTTTTTTTTTAAGATTTCGAACCCACGGTTCGGAATTCCTGGATACGCCACTGGTCGTGCTGGATATGTTTTATTAATATTGCTACTTTTAGTGGCACATATTTACTTTTTAAATACATTTTTAAAGGTTACACAAAACACTTCAAAAAAGTTTTGGAAAATGATTTTACAGTAATCAATTTAAAAGGAAGCTGCACAAGTGAACATACAATAATTTAAACGTATGAGTTACTCAGGATTGAAGTATTTAATTATCAATTCAAAGAAGGTTGATCTATACACAAACGTTAGTATTATCATTACTCGATTCTCTATGTTTTTGGTCCTTCGGTATGAAAAGTAGGAATGAAACGTTCAAAAAGTCTTCCTCGGTTTGACCCTTTGTCTTGCCCAAATTAGACTCAAAAGAGATTCAAAGAGCATGCCAGTAAGACTTTTAATAGTCAAAACTAGGTGGATCTAGTAACATAATAGGAAATTAGGAATTGGTAGTAAAAGTGCATGAACCCCTCCGGCACGAAATAGTTGGACTCGACATGAGTCCGTCACAAAACCAACACAAATTTCAAAAATGGTCTGACTTGACACGTACAAGTCGGTCACAAACCAATTCGACACGAGTTTGTCACAAGCCTGACACAACACTAGAGACATTCTATGGGCTAGAGGCCCATTCATGAAAATCATTTTTAAAAGTTAGCACAAGCCAGACATGTTATGGACCACAAGTACGACACGTGGACCGGGACATGCATGGATTCAATTTGTTTTGAATGATAGCACAACACGACTTTTTCTTTGCCCACTCTTGGCCTGATCCACTCAAATATGAGTTATGCTAACACGAGTGCACGACACATGAGTCTACATGGCTCAGCAGCCCATGCCCAGGCCTTCTTTAACTAATATACACCTAATTGGTAAAAAAATATATACTCCATCCATCCCACATTTTCGTGCTTATCTTTGAAAAAACATGGGAAATAAGGAGTTTGAAGAGAGTAGATAATATTGTAAGAGAATACTAAAAAAATAAGTAATGATTTTTTTGGTATATGTGTATTTTGTATACGTAAAAGGTAAAAAGTTGTATGGATTATGAATTTATGATAAAATTATGTGATGTTTTAGAAGGTTTTTAAAAACGTGATATTTTAGAAACATGCAATACATTTTGGGACACCAAAGAATGAATACACGCATGAAAATAATAAGGAGCGGAGGGAGTATACTTTATAGTTATACTACGTAGTAGCTTCCTTCATTCTTTTTTTGTTGACATGTTTCTTTAATCATATTTTCGAATGAACACACAACAAACTTCCAACGCTTAACACTTAATAAGCCAAATTATAAACAAATAAAACGATAGAAATTAATTTAAAGTTATATCATAACAATGAATTACAAAAGCTAGTCAAAAGTAGAATTTGGGAATAAAAGTGTAAAATCAAACTCCACTGTAAATTATAGTGAGAATGCTACACTATTGCTATTAAGCATGTTGTTATATAGATGAGTTGGATGTTGTGTCATTTAAACACAAAACAAAAATTTACTCAAGATATAATCAATCAGACAACTATTTCGACATTATTTTGATTTTTTTTTTTTTTTGACAAAGGATTATTTTGAATTATACGGATCAATGTAATTCAATCTAGAGCAAAACTTTTAAGTAAAAATAAATATTTTAAAAAGAAATGGATAATTTGCCAATTATTACCGCAAGTTAATACCACTTTGTAAATTACTACCGTAAATTAAAAAAGTTGTGAATTACTACCGCAAAATTTTTTAAGATGTTGCGATTACTACCAAACCCCCATTAAACTCAATTATGACGTCATTATATCTCTTTAACCCATGTTTGACCATGGTTAAGGGCTTTAACCACCCCCCAAAAAAAAAAAAATGGGTTAAGGATATAATGACGTTATGGTTAAGGACTTTAACCCATGTTTGATCATGGTTAAGAGCTTTAACCATGGCTTAAAGTGATATAATGACGTCATAGTTGGGTTTAATGAGGGTTTGGTAGTAATCGCAACATCTTAAATTTTTTTGCGACAATAATTCACAACTTTTTTAATTTGCAATAATAATTTATTACGAAGTGGTATTAACTTGCGGTAGTAATTGACAAATATTCCAAAAGAAATACATTCTTATATAATTCTATCATATAGAATAATGTGCTCTATGTCTTCTCTAGTGCAAAATAGTGCAAAATATTAAGACCCAAATATCTCTGAAAAGTTCAAGACATCAAGGTAAGGCTAATAATGAAATCAAGTGGGATTTTTTTTATTTTTTATTTTTTGTTTGTTTTTGTTTTTTATTTTTAATTAAGGCTTTAACTCACCGTATAGCCTACGACACTATTAGAGCCAAACATTATTTTCACGAAGAATTTTTTTTATTTATTTTTTGTGGATGATTGTACGTACATACTACGTATAAATCATGTTCAATGTCACAAATTGTACTATCTTTGATTTGTTATTACTATTCGGACCGTATTAATCACACAATCGTGATATTTTACAAAATTATAACATATATTTTTCCATTTACTAACTAGTCACAAGTCACAACTATTCAACAAACGAAACTCTTGCCAATCGGAAAGCAACTATTCCCTCCAATCCTTCTTTCTCGATCTATTCCCTCCAAAGAATAATTTTCAAATGTTTAAAAACTTGATTGAAACCTTTGCATGTGGGTTTTATTTATTTATTTATCTATTTATTTATTGTCATTTCTTATCTTTATCCTCATTCGCTTTCCCTATAAAAGAGGTATGAGGCAAACTCAACACGACACCAAAACTTAGACAAATTTAGAGGGATGGAAGGAATATAGAGTACCATTGTAAATATTACGATTTCTATTCACTAATGAAATAATATTGCCTAATACACCCACTAAACTATCATCATGAGAGCTCAAATAATCTTCTTCCTCTTAATTATTTGCAATTTCAACCTCTTTGTAACATCTTCCAAACCTTCAAATTATCTACCTAGAGGCTCTTCATTGACTGTCGAAGATGCTTCATCGAAACATCTCGTTTCGCCGGACAAAACCTTCACTTGTGGCTTCTACACATTCAATGACACCACCCATGCCTATTACTTCTCAATTTGGTACACCAACTCTAAGGAAAAAACCGTTGTTTGGACGGCTAATCGAGATAAACCCGTAAACGGCCATGGCTCGAGGTTGACCCTAACGAAACATGGTTCACTAGTCTTAACCGACCGTGGTGGCTCAATTGTGTGGGCAACAAATACTTCCTCAGTCGCGGTTGATAGAGTCGAGCTTCTTAACTCCGGGAACCTTGTTCTTAAGAACAAAAGTGGTAAAATTCTATGGAAAAGTTTTGATTTTCCAACTGATACTTTGTTACCTAATCAATTTTTTACAGAGAACCAAAAATTAATTTCTCGAATATCTCCGCAAGTTTTTAGTCCTGGCTATTTTAGTTTTTACTTTGATATTGAAAATGTGCTTAAAATGGTTTACGACGGCCCTGAATTTTCAAGCGTATATTGGCCTAATCCTGATATTAATATATTTCAAAATGGTAGAACAAGTTACAATGGTACCACGGTCGCGATCCTTGATGATACGGGTGCTCTTGTATCGAGTGATGGACTACATTTCAGTGCTTCCGACGTTGGTTTAGGGGTTAAAAGAAGGTTAACAATGGATTATGATGGGAATTTGAGGCTTTTTAGTTTGAATGATACGTCCGGTTTATGGACCGTAACATGGCAAGCTGTTATTCAACAATGTGATGTACATGGTTTATGTGGTAGGAATGGGATTTGTATTTATACACCGGACCCTAAATGTTCATGCCTTCCGCACCATGAACCCGTGAATTCGAATGATTGGAGCAAGGGATGCAAGCCTAGATTTAAAAGGGGGTGTAATGATACTCAATTTATTGAGATTCCTCATGTCGATTACGATGGTTTCGATCTCAATTTTACTCGAAACATTTCTTTTAATGATTGTCGACAAATTTGCTTAGGGGATTGTCATTGCGAAGCATTTAAACATGCCATAAGAGAAGGGTTATGGACTTGTTACACGAAAGGTGACCTTTTCAATGGGCACATGAATGATGAGAGTTTGTACCTAAGAATTCCTAAAAGAGTGAAATCATCGGAGTCCAATAATATCCTTAGTGTATCGCGGTTGGCTTGTGGAGGTGGTGATCCGAAGATAGAACTCCTACCCATGTTGTATAATGATGCCTCAACTCGAAGCTTTAAGTGGGCGTATTTGTACTCATTTGGTGTGGCTATTGGAGCCATTGAAGTCGTTCTTTTCGTATCAAGTTGGTGTATCTTTTTCAGGAAACATGGGACTTTGGGTTCTTTGGAAGAAGGGTATCGGACTATTTCGAGTCAATTTAGAAGCTTTAGCTACGGCGAACTCAAGAGGGCAACGGAGAAATTCAAGCAAGTTCTAGGAGAAGGAGGGTTTGGATCCGTTTACAAGGGTGTTTTATCAGATGAAAGGGTGGTAGCAGTGAAGAAACTCGAAAAGGTAGTCCAAGGGGAGGAAGAATTTTGGGCAGAAGTGAGCACATTTGGTAGGATCAATCATATGAACTTAGCTCGAATGTGGGGTTTTTGTTCGGAAGGGATACAAAGGCTCTTGGTTTATGAGTACGTCGAGAATGGATCCTTAGACAAACACTTGTTCTCTTCCTCCACTACAAGCACCCTTCTCGAGTGGGAAAAGAGGTACAAGATTGCACTAGGTACCGCAAAAGGCTTACAATACCTTCATCACGAGTGCCTAGAATGGGTTATCCATTGTGATGTAAAGCCTGAAAACATACTTTTGGACAGTGATTTCGAGCCTAAAATATCAGACTTTGGGTTAGCAAAGTTATGCCAACGCGATAGCCAAGGGTTATCCCAGTTGTCCATGATGAGAGGCACGAAAGGGTATATGGCTCCCGAGTGGACAACAAACCTTCCTCTTACATCGAAGGTTGATGTTTACAGCTACGGAGTAGTGATACTAGAGCTAGTGAGAGGGCTTCGACTATCGAGTTGGGTAGTCGATGATAATGTTAAAGAAGAGGAGATGCTTAAATTGAAAAGTTTTGTGAGATTTGCACAAGGTAAGATGCAAGATGGAGGGGATTCATGGATCGATGACTTAGTCGATTCGAGATTGGAAGGAAAATTTTGTCGAAACCAAGCAGTAAAAATGATCGAGATAGGTCTTTTGTGTGTCGAGGATGACAGGAACAAGCGTCCAACAATGGAATCAGTTGCCCAAGCTCTTGCCGAGTGTGAAGATGAAGTTGTAACTATGTGACTAATACTCCTTAAAAATAATGCTTGGATATTTATTCTAGTTATTTTTGAGCAAAATGCTTGGATGTAAGTTTTTTTTTTTTTTTTTTTTTTTTTTTTGAAGAGAATGCTTGTATGTATGTTAATGTGTTATTGTATGCATATAAATTAAAAACATAAATCGAAGAAGTAATTTTTGTAAAAAGTTGTTTAAAATTATAAATTGTTTGACAATAATATGTACTCCCAAACTAGGATATGATATTTTTACCTTCATAATGTAAAATAATTTGTAATTAAGGCCTTATTTGCTTCACCTTATTTTCAAATTAAAATTTGTTGAATTTAAATTATTGATCGATTTCTTATTACAGAACTGAACTGAAATAAATATTTTATAAGAGAAGGAAATTAGGAACTGAACTGGACTAAACTGAAAATAAACGTATGAAAACAGACCCTTAAATATGATTTTTCCAATTTAAAAAAAAAAATCTTATTAAAAAGGATTTCTATATGAAATTTTGGGATAACTATCAACTTTTTATGGACCAAAAATATTTGGTTTATAAATGACAACAGCATATTCGTGCAATCGTGCGTGGCCTTTTCAACGTCATCATTGGTCCTCTGAATCTAGAAATATTAGTACTTTTTTTTATTATTTAATTTTTTTTATATTTTTATTTTGAAGAGAGAAGCATTAGTATTCATTTCAAGTAATATACACAAATACACTACTCCGTACTGTATTAGATTTATTGACGTAATTTCTGTACATATAGGCTAACAAAATAGTGTTAAATTAAACATTTTGAATTTAGGGAATTTAACATGTTTTGTCCTTTTTTTTTTGTTAAAATTGATGAATAATTTCATGATCAAAATTTCATTTACTCTATATGAGTATATGTGAATAGAATATTTTTAAAATGAGACAAATAATTGAATAAATATACAAAATCAACCCAACAAATGAAGTTTGAAGTTTCGTATTTGGTGTGCTACTATTAGTGCTATAGTGCTTGCAATTGTTGAATAGACCGACTTCGATTTCTTACCATGACTTTCGATGAGTTTAACTTCACTAACGTGTCAGCAGTTACATACAAGACTTTTCATATACCACTCATTAGCAACCACATACATAATATACATACTTCCTTCGTATTTTTTATGTGAATTTATTTATTTATTCGTAACATTACTCGCATATTCCACGTTATTTATATATACTCTCTCCGTCCCAAAAAGAATTACCCATTTGGTCAAAACTTTGTCCCAAAAAGAATGACCCATTTGCATTAAAACACCACCAATTTACAACAATATTTGTGCAAAATTGGCTTCCCCATATAAAAATTTCATTTTCCATGTTATTTTATTACTTTCTCTCTCTATTTTTTTACAAACCCCATGTAAATTTATTTTTCCAATATACTTTTACTTCTTTTTACTTAACTTCCTTAATACCCGTGTAATCAACCCAAATGGGTCGTTCTTTTTGGGACGGAGGGAGTACAAATACAATAATAATAAACACAATTGCATTAGATTTTATTACATTAATTTCATTAGTTTTAATGTTTCATTGTATTAATTCTTTATAATTTTTGCTCATACGAGTTGAAAATTAACTATTCACTTCATCCCTAAATTAAATTAAAAGTCTCTTTCTCTTTATTATGTGAGTAATAAATACTAAAAAGAAGCTTTATATTAAGGGACGGAGGGAGTACAATATTAAGATTTAATTTACGAAGTTTAAGTTGATTTTACGTTGGAAAATGACCAAATGTGAACCGTTGAAATGAAATAACTTATAAATATGAAGTACTTGAAACACCAAATAAATAAATAAATATGAAGTACTTGCTATTTTGGGCATTATAAACACTAGCTAGCTTATTTCCTTTTTTGGGAAAAAAAAGAAATCTCTTACATGGGCCTCCTAACTATCTTCATCTTCACAATTAACACCACTTTTTTCTTCATTTTAGCAACATCTTCAAGCTATATCTCAAGAGGATCTTCCTTATTAGTGGAAAATTCGCGATCGGTTTCAAACCTTCTCTTCTCCCCTGATAAAACCTTCACTTGTGGCTTCTACACTTTCAATGAAACCACCCATGTTTACTATCTCTCAATTTGGTACACCAACACCAAGGATAAAACCGTCATTTGGACGGCTAATCCCTTTAAACCCGTCAATGGCCGAGGCTCGAGGTTCACCCTAAGAAAAGATGGTGCATTAGTCTTAACTGACCTCGATGGCTCAAATGTTTGGCAAACAAACACTTCCTCAACAAGTGTTGACCGAGTCTAGCTACTAGACTCCGGGAACCTTGTCCTTAAGAGCAAAATTGGTAATATTCTTTGGCAAAGCTTTGATTTTCCTACTGATACTTTGCTCCCTAATCAAGCTTTTACTAAGAACAATAAATTGATTTCTCGAATATCACCCTTTGTTTTTGATCCTGGATATTATAGTTTCTTTTTTGATAATGATAATGTGCTTAAAATGGTTTATGATGGCCCCGAATTTACGAGTATATATTGGCCTAATCCTGATGATACTATATGGGGTAATGGTAGGACTAGTTACTATAGTAGTAGGGTTGCAAGTTTTAATGATATAGGAACCTTTGTTTCTAGTGATTCGCTAGAATTTCGTTGTTTGGATTCGAGTTTGGGGGTTAAAAGAAGGTTAACAATGGATTATGATGGTAATTTGAGGTTATATAGCTTGAATAATTCGTCGGGATTATGGGTTGTAACATGGCAAGCTATTGCCAAACAATGTAATGTTCATGGCTTATGTGGTAGGAATGGGATTTGTATTTATACACCGGACCCAAAATGTGCGTGCCCTCCATACTATGAACCCGTAAATTCGAGTGATTGGAGCAGGGGATGCAAGCCTAATTTCGAAAGGGGGTGTAACGATTCTCAATTTCTTAAGTTACCCCATGTCGATTACTATGGATTTGATCTCAATTATACAAGAAATGTTACATTTAATGATTGTCAACAATTATGCTTAGGGGATTGTCATTGTCGAGCATTTAAACATGTAATAAGAGGTGATTCATGGTCTTGTTACACGAAAGGCGATCTTTTTAATGGGTATAATATGGCAGATGATAGTTTGTACCTTAGAATTCCAACAAGGGTAAAAGTATTAGAGGTTAATCGAATCATCCTTAATGTGTCACGTTTGGCTTGTGGGGATTCGAAGGTAGTACTCTTGCCTAATTCGTATAATGATGCCTCAACTCGAAGCTTTAAGTGGGTGTATGTATACTCATTTGGTGGAGCTATTGGGACCATCGAAGTCATAATTTTGGTTGCAAGTTGGTGTTTCTTTTTTAGAAAACATGTAATTTCGGCTTCTTTGGAGGAGGGGTATCATATACTTACTACTCAGTTTAGGAATTTTAGCTACGACGAGCTCAAGAGGGCAACCGGAAAATTTAATCAAGTTCTAGGAAAAGGAGGATTTGGAGCCGTTTACAAGGGTGTTTTGGCTGATGCTAGAGTGGTTGCAGTAAAGAAATTGGAAAACATTGTTCAAGGAGAGGAAGAATTTTGGGCAGAAGTGAGCCTTTTTGGTAGGATCAACCACATGAACTTGGCAAGAATTTGGGGCTTTTGTTCCGAAGGGAAACACAGGCTCTTGGTTTATGAGTACGTGGCGAATGGATCTTTGGACAACCACTTGTTCTCGTCCTCTAACAACTCTGTTGTTCTTGAATGGGAAAAGAGGTTTAAAATTGCATTAGGCACGGCAAAAGGTTTGGCTTACCTTCATCATGAGTGCCTCGAATGGGTTATCCATTGTGATGTTAAGCCCGGAAACATACTTTTAGACTCCGATTTTGAGCCTAAAATCTCAGACTTTGGCCTTGTAAAATTGTGTCAACGAGGTGGTCATGGACTATCAAATTTGTCACAAATCCGAGGCACAAAAGGCTATATGGCTCCTGAATGGACAACGAACCTCCCACTCACTGCAAAGATTGATGTATACAGTTATGGGGTTGTGTTACTAGAGCTTGTGAAAGGAACTCGTCTAACGAGTTGTGCAGTTGATGATAGCCTTGGTGAAGAAGAGGTTACAGAATTTTCAACCTTTGTAAGTTTGGCGAAAACAAAATTGCAAGACGGAGAGGACTCATGGATGGAAGACATGATCGATCCAAGATTGGAAGGAAAATTCAGCAAGAATCAAGCTGCTAAGTTGATCGAGATAGGACTTTCGTGTGTGGACGACGACAGGAATAAGAGACCAACAATGGAAGCAGTTACACAAGTTCTTGCAGACTGTCGAGATGAAACTGCAACAGTAGATACTCCAAGTTATGTGTGACTATATTTGTAGTACTCATCTAATTTATATGCAACTTCTAATAATGTACTTGCATTTTCAGTAGTACACAAAATTACTAAAATTATAATATTTATCATGCTATAAGTGAACTATAGTTTAATTTTATGTTCATCTTACACAACTTTTTATTATTACATACATAAGATATCATACCAGCCTACCTATACATACTCAGATATATTGTATTATAGGAGTTAATTTTTAATTTAAAGCAGAAATTTGAAGCTTTATACTAATGAATACAGAGTACTACGTAAATTAGTACATGATAGGACTTTTCTTTTCTTAGGAAAGGAAAGGCAAAGTCTAAGAAAGAAAAATAAAAGGTCAACTATATAAACATGTATTAATGTATGACTCCTAATATTTTTTAAGTCTTTGAAGTCCATTTTTTTTTTTGTTGTTGTTGTTGTTTGTGGGCATTGTGGCCTGTGGAATTCTTCCATACATAGAAACTACGAAATAAAACCCAAACACTTCATTTCTTTTTCAAACTTTTGGAGTATGAGTATGACACTCTTTCTTTTGTTTTTAAGGTGTGTAAACAGTAAGTCATCTTAAGAGACCATATTGGTCGATCGATCCATACACAAAAGTAAAAGAATATTCAAATACGAGAGATCATCCGGCCAAGAAAAAGGCATGTTTGTACAACAATGTATGAAATCGTTGGGATAGTTAGTTAGGTTAGACTTGATATGTTATTCATATTTATATTTACATGTTGACATAAACAAGATACTCCCTCCGTCCCTAAATTACATTCCTCTTTCTAGCATTTATCCCTCACATAATAAAGAGAAAGAGGAATGTAATTTAGGGACGGAGGGAGTAATATTTATTGCGAGCTAACTATCCAACCTGTATAATGAAATAATAATTAAAAAGTGATTGATTTCGGTAATTGATTATATATTTGCAAA